AAAAAAAAACGCACCCGCACAGACGGAGAGGCAACCGCGCGCGTCCTCATTCTTCGTCCTCCTCGGCCCCCCTTTGCCCCATTAGGTGCCGCAGCGCCTCTGCCACCGGGATGCGGCGCCCCCGCCGTGCCTCCCCGGGCGCCCGAGCGCCCACCCCAGGCCCCTCCGGAGCGGGGGGCGGACAACACTGCCGGAGCTCCCGCCGCGCCTCCCTGCGCACCTCCTCCATCGCCTCCTCGCGCGTCCGCCGGCCCGCCTCTCGCTGGGCCTCGCGCACCGCCGCCCGCGCCCCCTCTACGGCCTGAAGGGCGCAGCGCAGCTTTCCTTCTGTCGCAGCCCCCTCGCGCAGCAGGAGGAACGACTCCCCCTCCTCCTCCTCCACCACGCCCCCCGCGCAGCCGACCAGCACCTCCAGCCCCCCGCGCTGCCGCAAAACAGCCGCGCAAACCGCTGGGTTGCTGAGCCGCAGCCGCCGGTACTTGGCCTCCGCAGGGTAGCGGAGCGCATTTGTCAGAATAGTCTCCAGCTTTTCCAAGCTTGCCTGAGAGGAATAAAGCCCGTCACCGCAGTCGTCGCAACAAAACTCGCGCTCAATGTGCGAGCGCAGCTCGCCCACCGCCTTTGCCTTTTCCCAGCGTTCGCGGCGCACCTCCAGACCCAAGCTGCGACGCAACCGCGCGCAGTCTTTGTTGCGCGCCACGGCTTCTCCATCGCGAAGGCGCAAAAATGCTATCGCCCCCAACCCTTCATCTAGCAACGGGCGGCTGGGCGCCTCCGGAAGCTGCAAGCAATCACCGCCCTCACCACCATCAGGCGAGCGCCTCGCAAATCCAATAGACTGCAGAAACCCCATTACGCCAGGAACGGGAAACAACTGCGAGCGCAAAGCTGCATTGCTGAGGCGCAGCCGTCTGTATCTTTCTTCTTCTGGAAACTGAAGAAGATTGCGCAAAATCGCTTCTAGAAGAGTATATGCCTTATTGCGTTGCGCTTGGCCCGCGAAATCATCACTAAACCCGGAAATATTGACGCGTAAGAAACGAGCGTGTGCCTCCGCTCCCTGCCCCTCTTCCCCCTCTTTGCCCACCTGAGGAGCCGCAGTTGCAAGCGAGGCGTAATTCTTGATTGTGGCCTCCTTGGCTGCCCTAAACTCCTCCTCCGAAAGAACTCCGTTGGAAAAGAGCTCAGACAACCGCCGAATTTCTTCAGAGAGGGAGGCCATGATGTGCCCAGATAGAAAGCCACGTGTAAATTATTTCTGTCACCCGTCTTTGTACAGAGGCAGATGGGTGAGTTAGCAGCGAAACCTTACTTATCCCTTTTAGCGGAAGCAAACCAAAACACTCGCAAAGAAGAGAACTGGAAGAAAAGAAGCAGAAGCCGCAACGGGACGTAAAAATTAAATAATGATAGTAATAATAATAACCACACACAGGCGGGAGAGGCAAGTAAGGAAGAAGCAAACAAGAGGGGAAGTATTCAAAAAGGGGACAGAAGGCGAAGGACACGCGCTGCTGCAGGAAAATCCGCTTTAGGGCGCTTCTCCCTCGCGTTTACCCTTTCTATAATCCCTTAATGCGTCGTCAAATGCAATAAACTCATCCTTCGTGCCCGCTTCATTAGTAGTCGCTTGCGCCTCCCTCCTTCGCGGCCGCTCGCACTGCCTCTCCCACCATCCGGAAGAAAAAAAGGGTGTTTTCATCTTTATTCGTCTCTGCCAAGGACTTAGCCAAGGCACCCTGTTGCTGACTGCGTCGTCGACTGATCTCCCCCTCCAAAAGCGACATCGCAGCCTGAAAGACACCATGCAACGCAAGAAAAGAAAAACCTCGTAATAGTTGCAAAGCGGTGTCAATTTCTGATGCCGCGCCCTCTGTGGCACAAGGCGACGCGGCGGTGTTGTTGTTATTTTCAACAATGAGGATGTGATCGTCCACACCCGTTTCTTCTCCAGCAGGAACCTCAGTGGCAGCTGGCTCCGTCTTCACCGCGCCCCCATTGCCGCTACTCGCCCCCTCCCGTGCTACTGTCTTCACTTCCTCGTCCTCGTCCTCGTCGTCCGCTGCTTCCTCCTCCACCTTCTTCAAGGCCGCGTCTTCGTGGTCTTTGGGAGCTACCCGCGGCATGAGGCGCCGCCGCCGCCGCCGGCGCACACCGTAGTAGTGATGCGGCGTGCGCCTACGTTTCATCACAGGCTTCTGCGCAGCTTGGGTTTCCATCTGTGACTCACGCTTCAGCTTCACACCGTCTTGTGAAGAACAAGACGACAGCGACAAGTAAGGCTCCGCCAGGTCCTTGTGCTTCTCACAGAACTGCACAACGTTGCGGTTGATCTTGTACAGGTTCAGCACGGTTGTCTCCTTCAACTCAAGGGCACGACTCCTGTACCGCTGGTCCGCGGAAGAGCGCGTCCTAAAGAAGGTGCGCACATTCCGCACAAGCATGTCAATGTCGTCGTGGTACTGCGAGAGGCTGGTGTACTCTTCGTTCTCAAGCTTCTCCATCACGTCACACAAACCGATGCGGCGCCCGTGCGTGTGTTGCCGCCACTCCTCATAGAGGTCGTGGCCCGGCGTGAGGTCGAGGTCGGCACTACAAAAAAGCGAAAACTTGCGAGAATTAAGATACTGACTCAGCCACTTTGCCAACACATAACGCAACTGCCGCCGACGGTGTTCCACACGCCGCCACAACTCAAGCGTGCCATGACGAGCCGCACGCACTTCTTCAATGGAGGGCGGAGGCGGAGGCGAAATGTCGTCGAGTAACTCCTCCCATGCGGTGGGCGTAGAGTGCGTTAAGGCTAACTCCGTCACATGAAACAGGTACCGTAGAAAACGACGCAAATCATCGTCGGAGGGTGTGCATGGGATGATGCAAACTTTTTTGCGTATTTGAGCGCATAGCTGCGTTTCACCAAAAAAGCGAGCGCAGATGTCCGTGTGGAGCGTAGGCGCGATGATGAACACATCCGAGTCACGAAGCAGGGAAAGATAGTAGCACAACGACGCCATATTTTTTCTATGCTGACTTATCTGCTCATCACTTTCATCACCGCCATTACACTCGCTAGCAGTGGTAGGGCAGCCATACTCTGCCAGCCATACATCTAACCCTTGTAGAAGAACCAGTGATGGACCAGAGCAGCGCTGAATGGCCAGGACAAAGGAGTAAATGTGTCCAGAGTTGAAGCTGTCATTCAGTGGCAGACTGATCCCCTCAGCATTGGACGCACCTCCCTCGGCCGTAGCGAAACTCACAACTGCCGCCATCATCGTAGCGGCACTTCCGCGGTCCACCACAAGGTTAGGAAGATGTATGGTAAAGACGCGGATTGATGGTAGTGCCTTGATAAGAGCCAATGCCGCCTTCTCCAAGGCAAATTCACACCGCTCTGTACCGCACAAACTCTTCTCGGGGGAGGGAGTCAAAAAAAGCAGTATTGGTTGTGCTGTATGGGGAATAGAGAAACCACTCAGCTCTCGTACCGCATCGCTCGCGTCACTGCAATCCCTTCGCTCATGTGCAAGTGCTGCCGCTGCACTTGGCCACAGGGATGCCACATGCGACACCAATTCCACTCGGGCACTGTGGAGCAAATGCTCAAGATGCTCCTCAAGACCCTTTGCAAAAGAAACAACCCCACGACGTACAGAGGTTTTGAAGCGATGAACAGCCACAAAAAAATCTTCCTTTTGTATGTTAAGGGCCCTCTTGGGAATCTGTAACTTACGGCTGGTAACGTACAGCTGAGGCAGGCTTGTTCGCAGTCGGTTCAGCCCCGCTTCTGTGCAGAGGGCGTGAATCTCCGCACCCGACCACCCTTCGCAGCGCGTGGTAAGTTCCTCCAGGATCGCACTCCGCTCGGGATGGTCCAAGGGTAGTATCGGCTTCGTCACGATGGAAAGAATATGCCGACGTGCGGCAGCATCGGGAAGAGGGAAGTATAGCTCTCGATCGAGTCGCCCTGGCCGACGCAGTGCAGGATCAATGGTGTCAGGACGATTTGTGGCGCCGATCACAATAACCTGACCCCTGTCGTCCAATCCGTCAATGAGGGCAAGAAGGGTGGCGACGAGGGCTGCCTGTGACTGCTCTGCCTTGGAATGGCGCACTGGCACCAGTCCATCAATTTCATCAAAAAAGATAATACTCGGTTGTCGGCGCCTTGCCTCCTCAAATAACAGACTAAGCTGCCGCTCACTCTCTCCAACCCACTTGGAAAGAATATCCGCACCTTTGCGCATAAAAAAGGAGATCTTGCGCTGTGCACAGGTTGCAGCCTCATTTGCCAAGGCTCGAGCCATGAGAGTTTTGCCTGTTCCTGGAGGACCAATGAAGAGCACCCCACGCGGCGGGGTTAAGTTCATCGTCTGCAGCAACTGTGGGTAAAGGAGGGGAAAAAGCACCATTTCACGCAGCAACACGATATGACCAGGCAACCCTCCCACCTTTTCAAAAGAAACTGACGTGTCAATATGCAGCGGGGTGATATCCCCGAGTGGGGCAGGAGTCTCAGTCATCAACTGGTTGTCGCCCGTTTTCTCTGCACCTATTGGGTCAGTATTCGATGTATCAAGGCCTAGAAACATATCCTCCATGCGGCGGCGGGGACTTTTACCCCTGAACTTTTCTTCCTTCTTGGCGTTCTTGTCCACAGCTTCTATTACTTCGTCGAGGTAGTGGTTTATTGGAATATGTCGTAGTGTACTCTCTCTGGCGTTCCTGCACACACGGCGATTCTCCCTCTCACTCATTTTCCCTGTAAGTGAGGAAAAGGAGGATGAGTCCTCCACAAGCAGCGCCTCCTCTTCATCATTTCCCCGCTTCTGAGGCTCCTCCCGCAGGGACACCTCCGTGATAGAAGAGTCAATCGAGGGCTCGCGACCGCGCTTTCGTAGCAGTTGTCTCAACCGACTGCCACTACTTTTCTTCTCGCGTGGCTGCGAGGATGCTGCGCAACCCTCACTACCGTTGTTTGCACTGCTATCATCATCCTCATCATCTTCATCGTCGTCGCCCTTCTGGGATCCAGAAACTCGCACAAAATTCATACCCAGTGAATGCAACGTTGAACTCATCCTGAGAACCGCCCGTTTTGCTGCATCGCGCTGCGGATAGCGGGAGTTGATGTGTATTTCCTCCTCTCCCTCCCCATGTCTTCTCCCAGGTGGCAGTAGGACCTTCCTGACGTACATTGAATCATACGACGCGGGAGGTTCTCGAGAAACGCGGCAGCCGCGTCCCAAACGCTCCTGGGGAGGATCCTGCTCGGCGTCGCCCACAGCACCCGCCGCATTGTCGCTGTTGGCATGGTGCGAGCAAAAAGGAGATCCACCCGCCTGCCTCGACTGGGAACGAGTTAAAACCATCCCTTCCCCTCTCCAGAACAGACACACGCACGCAGACCAACGGCGTGAGGTGGGGGATTCCCTTCTCCTTTACGTTATTTATCCGTGGCAGGAAATGAAGGATGAAAACAATAAACGCAAAAAAAAAGGTGCGAGCGAAGGGAAGATGGCAGCGACAAATACGAAACATGAAGCCAAAAATATGCGGTGAAGCAACACGGCGAGAACACTACCTGCCAACAGCCCTCAGTTATCGAGAGATCTCGACCAAGACGCGTACGTGGTAATTATCACCTTTTCCTTTGGCTCTTGTTTAGTGACTACTTATTCGACTAGTGGCCCTCGTTAGAGCATTTTTTTTTTTTGTTTGTTGCTTCTTCTTTCTGTTTTTATTTTTCTTCTTTTTGCTCTCCTCCCTTTATACAGAGAGAGAGAGAGAGAGAAGTGTAGCGCCATACAATATGCGCATCTCCTGTGGTTGAATGCCTCATTCATAAATTGATGTTTGTATTTTCGCTTTGTTTTTTTTTCTTTTTTAATTCCAAAACTTTTTTTCACGTCCAGAGCTATGGAGAGTGGCTGTGTGCATGCGCGTGTGCGCGTCCCTTTCTCGCTTTCGATCCAGCTTACCTTTTTGCCTCCCCCAGCTCCTCTCATCATCACTTCTTTACGGACGAAGCGGACGTGACCCCCGCGGCGCGCTCCATCCCCCGCCGCTTCTGCGCACGTTTGCGAGCAGCATCACGCCGCTGCTGTCGCTTGGCCTCTACCTCCTGCTGCACCGCCACCAGGTCATCGCGCGCCTTGTGCTTCACCTCGCTATCCTCGATCCAGTCGATGTTGTGCTTCAAGACCACAGCAGCGTCGCGACGCTCCTGCAGACGCGCCCTCTCCATGCGCCGATTCCACAGCGCCTCCTGGCGCTTCTGTTTGACCTTCTCCACACGCTTCATCACCTTGAGGGTGTCGTGGAGCAGCTCGCGGTTGTACTTGACGGGGACGTGCCGACGCTGCTCAAAGTCCATCGTGCTATCCACCGCGAGCTCCTTACCGTTCGCCTTGCGGAATGTTTTGGTCCACTTGAGCTTCATCGGGTTGCGTTTCATCCCAAAGTTTTTGCGACACTTCGAGGCACAGAAGCGAAATACCTTACAGTCGTTGCGCACAAACATTTGCCCGTGCCCCGGGTAGATTGGGGCCCCGCAGAAGGAGCAGTGCTCAATCCTCATCGCCGCGCTATTTTTGTCTTACCACACACACACACACAGCTGTGCGCCACTGAGAAAAATGGGGCAAAAAAAAAATGTCGAGAAAGATCAAGAGAAAAGCAGACCAAAAAAATAATAATCAACAATACACCGTAGCAAAGGAAAGATTCCTCTCCCTCAGTAGTGTCTTCAGGCGGTTGACACACGGCCAACTAGTTAAAGCTACCAAGCCCTTTTTCCTCTCACAGTGTGTGTTGAGCATGCCCAATGCACTTCCCTGCCCCTTTCCTTGTGTTTGGCTGTGTGCCACTGCCTTTGTTTCGACGTATATTACATCTTCATTCTGGCATGTATTCTCATTGTTATGCACTCCTCTTTGTTTTGTTGTGTTTTTCCTTTTTCCCTCGCCAGAGTCATGGATCTGCACCCTTGGCGAAGATACCGAGCGTGTGCGTGTATCTCACTTTTTTTTTCTTTCTCTCTTTCGGTGTCCGCATGTGCGTGGTTCCATCTCGGTTTCGTTACACACACACACACACACGCAAATGCTTTTTTTTTGTATTTACATCTTTCCTTGGCGTGCATGCGCCCAAGGCAATTACAGAAAAACAGTCAGAAGGATAAAGCAATGACATGGATGCGTGCGCAGTGGTTTCTCTCCCTCTCCTCATTCCCCTTGCTGCAACGAGCCACACACACCACACACTGATGCATGCTACTGATTCGACGACATCAGAATCGCATTCAAAAGCAAACGCCGTCGCATTTCTCCAATTACTTCGCCCTCATCCGTCTCAGTGTCCTCCTCGTACAAGACGCCCTTCTGCAGGTCGCAGTTGATGTCAATCAGAGAGGGGCTCTGGTAGACCGTTTCTCGCAACAGCTTCAAAAGCGACAGCTGTTGGTTACGTTGGGCCATAGGGTCCAGCGCAGCGTCTTGGCCTACGGGGCGCACAATCGCAACCTTTTCCACAAATGCCGGGTAAGGAGAGGATATGTAGAAGGCTTCAATACCGGGGTTTGTTCCTAGAGCCTGCACCATTTGATCAATGTCTTCCTGATTAATTTCTGGGTTTCCACTCAGGTCAATTCGCCGCAGGTGATTGTCGGATCTGTTTTCATTGCAAAGCTCTGCAAGCAAAGGCCCATGCCTAGCCTCGAACTCGTTGTAACTGAGATTGATGTGCTCAAGCGAAGGGTGATTGATAATCACTTGCAACAAACCCTCCACTCCTTTTACCTGCGCCAGTGGGTCTCTACAGTATTGCTCCTTCAACGAGCCCAACTTATTGTGCGAAAGATCCAGATCGTTGAGGTTTAGGTTAGTAGCGATGCCGTTATATAAGGCGGGAGCTGCTGTGACGCTGTTGTGCGCCAAAACAAGCCGCCGCAGCACCGGAGAGCTAATCAAAAGATGATTAACAGCCTCAAGACCGTCCCGGATGTTGTTGCGGCTGAGATCCACCTCACGAAGGGAGGTTGGCATCGTCGCAGGGAGTGGGAACAACACACGTAGGCCCGCCGCCTGAATGTTATTGCCGCTGAGACGCAACACCGCTAACGACGGGCGACGACCGCTGAGAGCTGTTCCGTAGAGGGCCAAGGCTATAAAGTGCATTACCGTCGTATCATGCAGCGCAGCCGCATCGCCACAAGCGTCATTACTCTCGATGTCTAACTCTTCCAATGCCGAAGCCGTGCCAATCGTGCACAACATGGCGCTGCACAAAGCGGGTCCAAGGTAGTTGCCAGCGACTGACAAACGGCGTAATTTTGTGTTTCCATTCAACGCCACACTCATCGCTTCCATGGCAGCCAGTGCCATTCTCTGCTGTGACTTACTCCCTTTTTTACCAGCGAGATTGTTCCGCCGTAGGATGAGCGTGTGCAAAACGCTGTGTGGTGATGACAGTAAAAGTTTCGCTATGTAGTGTAGCCCACGGAACCCAATACCGTTGTCCGTGAGGTCCAGCACCTCAACTGAATGGTTTTCAGCAAGCGCGGTGGCAATCATGCGGGCACCCTCAGCACCCAACGCGTTTCCTTTCAGTTCAAGTGCTCGCAGCCGGTGGTACTCTCGCAACGGACCAACGAGCTGCCAAAGCGGGAGATCCTGCCAGCTATCCACGTCTGGCGTGGTGGCATCGTTCTCAGGATCCATCTCCGCTGGGTCTGTCACGGGTGGCTCCTCCCCTTCACCACCACTGTGAATCTGATTGTGGCACAAGCGCAGGTGACGCAGAAATTTGTTCTTCTTCAGCACCTCACTGATTGCCCCGAGTCCACTGTATGTCTCCCCAAAGACGGGGTCCTCCTCCTGGTACTCTGGATCCTCGTCCACCTCCAATGCCGGCATACCAAGTTGATTGTCGGAGAGGTCAAGTGAGACAATGGCGATATTTTTTGTGAGGGCTTTCCCAATAACACCAAAACCGTGTGGTCCCAACTCGTTGCTACTCAGATCTAGCACTTTGATTGTCTCATTGGCATCAATAAGCTTCGCCAGAAGACGCAGTGGGACAAGTGAGACTCGCTCCTCCTCGTTAGGCGTCCCCAGCCCATTGTGACCCAGCGACAAGACCCGAACCTTCTTATCCTGCATGAGCATCTCACAGATGTTGCGAAAGGCATCCAGTTCGTACGCCGCTCGAAGACGGATGGCGTGCTTGTAGTTTGTGTACTCCAGCTGTTGATCTTGGCACCACTGTCGTAGTTCTTCATTGGTGGAAAGATCAACATCAGCCTCCTCCTCCTCCTCCTCCTCTTCGTCAGCGCTGTCAATGGACCTTCTCGGTTTTAGCGTGGGCAGTGGAAAGCGTTGTTTCAGCTCCTCCATCTTAGCCATCACCGTCGCAGGCGAGGACTCTGCGTGCTCATTTGGCATAATAGCGCCGTTGCCAAAGTTGAGGCACGTGATGTCGGCGCCATGTAGTGACATCAGCTGCGAGAGCCGCTTAACGTCATCAAAGTTCATCACTGGATGAGGTTGGATATGATGGATGAAGGGCATAAGCGCACGCAGCTCCTGCATCTCTGCTTCATCAGGGATAGCCAGTGAAACCTGCTGGAGGTGTTGTGAGACCGCCTTGTCACCACCACTGATTGCCTCTAGTAGCTCCTGCACCGCGTTTTCACAGAGTGAAAGCGATTTCGGTTTCTTTGGTGCGTTAGCGAGCGCAATGCTGTTTGGGTTAATAGGCTGGTTTCCCTTTACATGCGGACGTATTGTCGCACCACGCAGGGCACGCGCCAGGCGTGCGGCCTCAATGGCAGCGTACAGGCCCTCATCGCCAGTTATCTTCGACTCATACGACGTGGAGACAAAAATCATGACTCACATGCACCCTTTCGCCCACCCTGTTTCTTTCCTTGCTCCTGTTTTGTACCGGTGTTATTCCTTGCAATAACTCCCTCCTCCTCGCTCTCGGTCTCACTTGTTGGCCCCTTTTCGCACAGCTCCTCCTCACTTCTCTTCCTCGCCGTGTCCCCTACTGTTTCTCCGGAGCGCCGCACCCACGCGGTGGTGTCTGCGCAGCGAAAAGGAAAGATACACTCGCAGCAAACGAAAAAGAAAAGCATCAGTAAAAAAAAAAAGCCAAACAGCGACGCACAGCCCATTCCCCCTTACTTCCCTTCGCTTTATCAACCCGCCTCTGGCCACACACACACAGAGAGACCGTGTAATTTCCACTATCCCACTCTTCCTCATTTCATATTTAATGTACAAAACAGCGTCGCGAAAAAAACATCTAGTCTTTTGGATTGTTTCTTCGTGGGCCGCAGATTTTCTGTTGGAGTTCCTCCCCCCACCCCACCCCACCCCACCCTCCGCGCCCAAAGTCACAGCAGCTACGGCGCGGCACTCTTCAAAGAAAGCCACATGACACCTGCATCCCGCACATCCCCTGCTACACGGGAAAAGAAGGGGCTGTCATCGCAGGCCAACACCTCCGGTGCTCCCGCGTCGTAGTAGGCCGATGACTGCAGCCGCCACCACGGGTCAGGGTACATCTGCTGCAGCCTGTAGAGGACCCGGCGAAAGCGTTGGTGGTGCTCCTCCTCTAAACGCCGCATTGCTTCTGCGCAAGGATCTGCCGGACGTGTAAAATCGCGTCTCTTCTCCGACGGAGAGGCGAAGCGCAACTCCAAGCGCTGTGCATTTCTACCATAGCAATTGCAAGCGCATCCCTCGCCCCCACTGGTCTTTCGTGTGAGAAACTCCTCTCCGATCTGGAACGCGTTTTTCATTCTTGACATTGCGGTTAGGCGATTTGTGGCTCCGTGTGCTTCACTGCTCTCGCTCGTGGTTTCTCGTCGAGCAGCCCAACCAAGGAGAGCTGGGGGCTGTGAGGGTTGCAAAATCACCCAAGGGTCCGCAATCATCGCACAGCTCCTCGAGCCGGTCGCACTGCTGGTGGTTGTTCCCATCACAGGGGAGGTCAAACTGAACTCCTTGTCGATGCTCATCACACGCTGCTGTGGCACACCAATCCGCACTGAGGGTGAAACAATGTTGTCTTGCTTTACGTCATTTGGCAGTGTTGGTGCGGGAACGCGGCCTGGCAGCTTCCCTTTTTTGCCCATACGCCCTGTTCCCGCACCATTGAGATGCGTTTGCGCCCTATTCTTCTTCTCTCCGCTGTTGTTTGACCCCCCAGCGACAGCTGCATCGCCTTTCCGCATCGCGCAACTCTGCCGCGGATAGAGCGCTGCAACCTGACAAGCGGTGAAACGTGAACTGCACCGGTGCCAGGACGCCGCCAAGCACCTTCTTTACGGTATCCACTATTGTACTGCCGCACCCCACCGTCTTTGCCCCGACAGAGGAATCTAACGAAGAAGACGACAAAAGGACTCTCTCTCACACACACACGCACCCATCAACGAATGAGCCCTCCCTCCAAAGAGCGAGGAGAGAACAGAACCGAATACAGCACACAGAGAGCGTGTGCCATTGAGCAGTCGCGACAATCAACGCTAGAGAGTTTTAAAAAAGCCACACTTCACACAGAGACCAAAAATGAAGGAACACCACAGCACATTCCATAAAAGCTATTCCGCTCAGATTTATTCCAGATGAAAAACTGGACATGAAAAGGTGTTGAAACGACACAAAAGAGGCTTCCTCTCATTGCTGAGGCAACTCACTCAGGCGGTCACCAGCACGCATATGCGGGATACCCATTAATCTACAAAAAAAAAAAAAGAACGACATTAGCGTAACTCCATCAAAAATCGGGAAAGGAAACAATTAAAAAGAGAGAAAGAGAGATAACAACAAGCATATCATATAAATATATATATATATTTGTATATTTGTATATATTTATATAATAAGTGGAAGAAACCAAAAAAAGAAAATGTGTTTGAAAGTAAAACGCCGGACAAGCATGCATCTCCGTTCCTTCTTTCTGCCGGCAACGTTGTCAAGATAAAAAGCACCGCGCAAGTGAATCTGCCTTTACTGCAAACATTTTTGCTTGAGGTTTCACAAATTCCTTTCCTCTCCATTTGTTTTAAACGTAGTTTTTTTGTATTTCTTTCCGTTTTGTTTTGTCACGTTTTCCTTCGTCCTTTGACTTACATTAATACCGTTCTTGCGATACTTATACAGCGTCAATGCGCAGCGACATCAACCCTTATATGCGCTATGACTGCTACGCTCAGAGCATGTCTGCGGCCCCCATTTCTCTTTCGCAAATGAAATTGTGTCGTTCTGTTCTTGTGTTTCTAGCGGCTCCGCGAATGTGGGCCAATCCCTAATGTAATTCTCCTGCTTCGGCAGCCACTCCAAGAACCGCACCGCCGCGTGAGAAACAGTCTTGATAGTTTTGGGGGCAAACCTTGTGGTGATGATGTTAGTCAGCGGGGCCGGAATCCAGCCGCCGGGGTCGCACTGTGTGATGTAGGTGAGGCAGCAGCCGTGCCCGCCCTTCCTATCCGTCCAGGGGCACACCAAATATCCCGTTATTTTTGAAATCCCACGCACAACAGTGTCGCTGCTAATCTTGTTAACCTTCAGGTAGTCCAGTGGCACGTCTCGGTGAGGAACGGAGGTGTTGAAAATAATATACTCATCGTTTCCTGCATTTATCCACGCACGCTGATTAACAAAGTCGCGGTTGGCAACTCCAGGCACAGGGCTTTTTGCCGCGTAGTACCCTATGTCGTTGTGTTCATCAAGCTTAGCAATGCGAAAGGCCTCAATGCGGTAGTTATCCCACAACGGACGGAACATGGCGTCCTGCAGCATGTCGTACAGCGTCTCAGGAGACACACCGTGAAGGATGCCGAACACCTTAATGATGCGCATCGGCTCTCTCTCCACCTTCTTGTTCCACACAATGCACTCGTCACGGTTGTTGTATTGCATCTCAAAGCCGTCAAGGGATTTCGCAAAGCTTCGAAATGCCACAAAGTCTGCTTTCGTCACAAGCCGGTAGGTCCGGCCCCCATGCTGCACCTCTGGGCCTGTGATGGGGAACGGGGTTTTGTACACCACCGAGACTGGCTCCTCCGCATCAGCATTACCATCCTTCACGTGCCTCTTCCGGAACATACTCTTCATTTTCTAAGTATCCCTACTGTATTTCTGTTCTTACTTTTCTTCCTGCTATTGTGTAGCGGCCTTCGCCGTCCTCTCCTTACCACCGGCTCCGTGAAGCTAAGCGCACCGAAAGGACATAAACGTCACAAGGAAGGCGGTTAAGCAGCATAGAGGAACACGTGACTGCAAGGAAGCAGAAATTTTGGTGTATACCAGGATCCCTTTCATAGATAGCACTACTCACAAGAATCCTCACCGCTGCCACAATGCCGTTATCCCGCGCCCCAATAAGGTACGGAATTGGCAGAAACTATTCCTGTTGCTGATCTCGTGAGGAAGAGGCGCCGCCATTAAGGGAACCGCAATGGTTGGCATAAAAAAAGACAACGTGATGGGAATACGATCCTCCACCCCTCCGCCTCTGCGACCAGGCCCCTCAAGGGCGCTCATTTTATCAGGCGACCAAGCGCACTTCCCACGTCATCCAGCACCGCTAGCAGTGCGTTGAGGAAATCGTCAGTGCCCTCCCCATACATGGTCGCAAAACAAAAACGCAAGTTCGTTAGAATAGCAAACGCAGTTCCAAGTGTGCAGAACGGCGAACAAAAGACGGCCCAGAGCCTCACTGTGCGGAGGCT